GTGTGTGTGTAATGTACTTTTAATTTACTTTTAAATTCTCCTGTATGTTTTCTATGCAGAAATTATTTTGGTAAATCTATGCAATTGTATATGTTATCCTGGTTGTTTTCTTTTGCTTAATTATTATGTTAAATTTGAAACTGTGTTTGTTTGTACATATTCTATATTGATACTTCTTGATGAACTTCCTCATACATAAATAATCAACAAATCTTTTAATCATTTCCTATTTGTATATATATATAAATCTTCAAAGTAATTACAATCAGAATATACTCCTAGGGTGCATAAGTACCAGCTGAAACGCAATTAGGAATATAATATATATATATATAGAACTGTCATGCATTCCTAATACTCTATGAAAAGATGCATACTATCAAAAACAAAAAAATAAAAACATTGCAGTAAGCTTTCACTTTTTGTAATAAAGAACTGATTAATCAATTCTACAAAAAATAAATAGTTTATACATAATGTCAACTGGTACATTGCATATCAGTGGTTTCTACTCCTTCTTAGTAGGAATGGTGTCGAAAGTTTGTTTGTTGTTTTTGCCACTTGCATGTACGATCATTTTAATTGGTATCTTCAGATATTTTTGCTGTTGTGTCGAGAGTTATGGATCCTAGTAATTTATCACATCGTACGTACATACTGAAAAATAGAACGAGAGAGATAGCATTCTTGATTACATAATTTAATCTCATACTTCTTGAGATCGTTGCAGAAATCACTCATGAATTTCTTTACTAACCATTTGTATTAATATATATTTGATCCTTGAATTTCTTTTGTACTTGTGCGTATTATACATGTACATACAGATATTTTCCCAAATCCATCCTATACTTTTTCGTTATGAGTCAACAGAACCCAGTCTACTGGTTTTAACAGAGTCAGTGTGCTAAAAGATTCACACATAAGACTGACACGATAAAAACTAATTTATTCTTAGTGTTCGCTCACCGTACAAAGCGATCCAGGACCCCCAACAGTAGCACCTGTTTCTCAATCTCTATCAGCATACCTGGGCTTTCCTGTGGTGGACGAAGCAGGTGGGAGATAGGAAAGTCTTTAAACTAACCAATTCTCTTTCCCCCCTGGGCCCACATTGTGGTTGGGTCTAGGCCCTGCAGGAGTTTTCGATAGTTGTAGTGCGTGCGCACATGAACACAAACATTACAGTACAGAGTTGTGAGAATATTGAATGAAGTGTTTTTACGTATCAGCTGTAACGTTGTTATTTTTTATTCTGGGAGCGCTGTTCAGCATTCTATTAGTGTCATAGTTGATAAACTAATCAACACAAGTATCGGTGATGGCGTATTTAACCATTTGTGTGCGTTCTTTGTATAAATGTATTGGTCAAACAGTAAAGTAGAACTTGGACCTGAGGCTTTGTGCTAATACATAGTAATATTTCTATTAGTAATACTATGGCAGTTAGTTTTTCTGCCAGGACAGTCACTTGTGCATAAGCTGTCTGTTCCAGCTTTAGCCTGCAATGTGGGTATCACTTAGCTCGTGCCACATCACAATCTAGAAGCTGGTTATTATTGAAATGTTTGTGTAAATCGAACGTTGCCACTGGTGTTGGTAATGACCCGCTGGGTATAAATATGGATGAATTATCAGGTAGGATAGCAAACAGTTGTCACAGCATTTTAAACTGTAATCGGTTTTTGGTGTGTGTGTGTATGTATTAGGTAAATCGGTGAATTATCCGTGTATATTTTTGTCGCTAAACGTGCGGATAGTCTAGGAAGAAACGCAATAATATTATTATGAACGTCTATGCAATAATCTTTATACGGACTTTAGTTTTTATGTGCGTTGGTATACTGTATGATATAAACTCATAAAGTACTTTTCCACAGTTTGTGTATTATACATAGTGATTAGCTTGGTTCGTTTATAAGTTGCTTTTTAACTTAGAATTAGATACATATATGCACACATATATACACACACACACACACACACACACATATATATATATATATACTTAATTACTTTTGATTAGAAATTAACTATTTTATCATGTTGTTACATGTTCTTCTGTGATTTTAATTCTTAATTAAAAGTATAAAAATTCGCACTCAAAGTCAAAGAGTCATCATATAGCACTTTATTAATATGGAATTTTAGGTGTTTTAATTTAAATTTATTCCAAAGTAACTAGATCGTTAATCCTTAAGCTGCGTCGGAGCCTGTTTCTAGTAGTAATTTTTCTATTTTTTTTTTTCCGTTTTAACGTAAAACCATCTCATTCAACAATTAGGTAGTCATCGAATTAGGTAGTTTATTAATCTTGGTAGTAAGACATCAAACATTATTTTTCTAAATTACGCTAACAGACAGGTTGTTTTGTTGAATTTCGCGCCAAACTATTTAGTCACCACCACCACCCACCGCCAACTTTTGGGATATTTTTTACCAACGTAATGTGGGATTGATAGTCACATTATGACTCTCCTCAGTTAAAACGGCGATGATGTCCGGTGAAGGGATTTGAAACCGCAGATTGCCTCACCACTAGGTCATACAAGACCCTACACTAACAGCCAAATAGAGGAATGTGAAAGGAAACATATGCAATATCGCTGGATTTTTATTGTTATTATTAGGTTCATTGGTTTCCTTGTTTCGCGGCTCTCGGAGATTAAATCTTAACATATGATAGTTTGGAGTTTCTTATTGTATCGTGGCCGTTTAGGCAGTGACGTAACTACAAAAGATCCCCCCACCCACACACCGCATAAAAGTAATCGGGCCCCCCTATATTTATTCCCCTTGTCGGCAAGTGATAGTGTAAATCGTACGTGGATAGTTTAACACTTTTCATAGAATCGTACAGTATCTACCATGAATGTCTGAGATCTCGTGGTTCTTTCCCGCCACTCAAGTAGAAGTTTGATAAGCTGGCATTGAGTCGTGTAGTTCTACAGTTTTATTTTTAGTCAAACTTGTGTTTTGTTGTTCGTGCGAAAAATATAATTGGTGTTTTGTTTATTTTCTGATTGTTACCTGCTTGTGCTAATCAGAAAGATAGAATAATAAAGAAATAAAACGAGATATTTGAAATAACGGCGCATATATTTTAAGAGTCGAAGTAAACAATGACGTCAAAGGTATGACGTAAACAACTATTATTTTTAAATATTTCTGGAAGTTTTAAATATTGAAACTGATACAGTACTTGAATACTGTTTATCTACTTGCAATTATTGATAAAACATTTTAGAATAACTTTGTGAAAAATGTCAAACATACGTGATACAACGTACTGATAAATATGAATACGAGATTTGAAGAATAAATAAATAATATAGCTTTTGGTATTTGTGAATATACTTTCCTACTAGTTTAGCCAAGATTGGTCATATCAAGAGGTCACAACTTCTTGATGACTGATAATGTCTGGAAATTATGACAAGGAAAAGTTAAAACTTTTATAGTTAAGTACAAACTTTCGTGCAATGAATCTTGATGAACGTTATCATATAGTTATGCGTTTAGTGTAGAATGTTTAGTTATTTCTACAGTGTTTGAATATTTAGTTTTACACACGAGAAACTGGACGTTACTAGTAGACTGCATGTGCATGTTTACTTTGAAATTAATTAATAATCTTACCAATTTTGTATAGATTGTACTATATAGACTTTCATAATTATATTGCGTCTAATTGCATCCAATTTGTGGATGTTCACGTAGAGTTTATGGTAAGAGTTCCATATGGCACCCCCACTCAATTTAAAACAGAATTCATCAAAGTAATATTTATGTATTAATAAATCATATTAATAGTATGATCTGATAATTTTAATACATTATTATACCACTTACTTCATTAATTAGATGTACAATCTTCTTGGGGATAAACTTTACAAATGTCTTGTATAAAGGCATCAAAAAGGCTACTTTTATCAGAATCTTTTTTTTATCCAGGCAATTCTACAATTTTTGGGTGGTGGTGCCATATGGAACTCTTTCCGAGTTTATTCCAGATCAAGCATATTAGTGTACGATATTCTGCGTATGCGTTTTTTCTTTCTTTGTTTTTATATAAGTGTTTGAAGTTTGCTTTCCATAAGTAATTTTGTTTAATACAGCTGATTGTTATTGACATAATTAGATATTTAAAGTAAAATACTTGGACGTGGAGATATGAACTGATGTTTCATTGTTAACACCTCTTCGTTGATACTTTTACATATTGCATTACTTATGTGTATACTTGGACGTGGAGATATGAACTGATGTTTCATTGTTAACACCTCTTCGTTGATACTTTCACATATTGCATTACTTATGTGTATGTTATGAAATATAAAAGGAGGAGCATGGGGATTGAATATTTCCATAATTGTATTTCTAAACACGATCGGCATATGGATCTTTGTTTAACGTCGGAATTGTTTTACATTTACTTTACTTACTTGGTTTTAATTTCGCGCAAAGCTACACGAGGGCTATCTGCGCTAGCCGTCCCTAATTTAGCAATGTAAGACTAGAGGGAAGGCAGCTAGTCATCACCACCCACCGCCAACTCTTGGGCTACTCTTATACCAATTAATAGTGGGATTGACCGCTGAAAGGGCGAGCATGCTTGGAGGGACGGGGATTCAAACCCACGACCCTCAGATTGCGAGTCAAGCACCCTATCGGGCCATTGTTTTACATTGTAATACAAATTTACAGGAGACACTGTGTATACAAGATATAGTTTCTAGCAAAAAGGGTTTCACGTTATATTAGCACTCTCGCTAAAATTATGAATTTGTGCTATTAACGTATGGGGGAAATATGTCGGTCTATTCTTTTTTTTTAATTGAAAAATTCATAAAAATTGTCGAGAAAAGGGTTTCTTTGTACTGAAGATTTAAAGATCATTTTAGCAAATATTCGGAAACTCGGGCCTGTTTCTAAAGTGTTTGCTGATTACACAGGCCTGCGAATTTAAACTTCATAAAAGTTGGTTTGGTTTTATAACGGATTTTCCATAATTAAGCTATGCATATTTCTAAAATAATACACATTTTTTTCTATCACGTAAGGATTTTTTACTAATCGGGAAGAATAAAAAAACTTCCTTAGTTCAAATTATTTTTTTCGTTTACCACAATGAAATTTTTTTTTATTGTTATGTTTGTTAAAAATAAATACAAACAAACGGAAAAAAGGGGAATAACATAGATGTCAAACGAATATGCATCCTCATTCGTCCTGATTTTTTGGTCTCAAAACTACGTGTTGTGATCTTTCGTTTATGTATTGCGTTATGACATTTTGTGAAACATTTGTACGTGATGGAGAAAACTGGATGCCTGTTTACATGGCACATGCGGATGATGTTGCCTGTCCATCGCAGGTTAACACCCAGCTAATAACTACGTACTCATCATACCGTTGGATTGACTGAAACGAACGGGGTAAAGCATCGTGTTCAAGGATACAACTGCATGACGCCGGTAAGCCTCGAACTCGCAATTATTCGACTACGAATCCAAAGCGCAAAGTCACTGAGCCGCACTGTGTATACATACTTGGTATACTTTGCGTGTATACATAAGCTGTAAATACTTATTGAATTTATTTAATACAAATATTTGTTAATGACATCGATGTCTAAAATAAAATACGTTGACGTGGAGATATTAACACACTAAGTAGTCAACAATACTTCTTATTTCAAAAATAACCTATTTGATAATGTTGATTGTAGTCACTATTTTCTTTGCTCATATGGAGTGGCGATATCTGTGCTTTACAGATTGGAGTTGGCCCACAGTAAAATAGAATAAAATAATTTTAGCAAGCCGTAGTCTACAGAAGATCACATTCAAGTTAAAAGGACTTTAGGTGATTGTTTTTTATTCATTGTACACAATATTGTTTCTTACCTTTCTGAAATTTCAAATGAAAATATGTCAACATTTCCCTAAGAGTAAGGTTAAATATCCTGGCAACGTACCTTAGTCGACAATTGGGTGGCCAACTAGTAGTTTTCTATACAGTTTTGAAAAAAAGAAAAACTATTTCACTAGAATATTTTTTAAGCAACCATACATATTTTTTTATTTTTTAAGAAATGAAAAATGAAAAAGTTTATTGTGAAACCAGAAAAAAAAAAATCCATCATTGGATTTACATGCGCTATATTATTGATGTGTAAAAACTGGCAGATAAGATTTTGAAATATGCATATACTGACAAGCTATTATAAAACGTAAAAAAAAAGTTATCTTTCCCTTGCTGTATAAATAAAATTAACATGAAACTGACAGATTTATGTCTGTCGATTTCTACATACAAGGGTTATCAGCGTTTTCTACTTTTCAGATATAGTTGATTTTGTTTGTTTGTAATTAAGCACAAAACTAAACAGTGGGCTATCTGTGCTCTGCCCACCACGGGTATCGAAACCCGGATTCTAGCGTTGTAAGTTTGCAGACAAACATATTAATATATACATCGTATATAAAACTAAAAATTATCCTTTACGTGTTAACAAGTAGAATATTATGTAGTGTGCTTTTTGTTCTTCTTCACCATCACCTCCTTCTTTTAAAAATATAAATATAGTGTTGTTGTTGTTGTCCCCCCCCCTGTACGGTTTATAAAGGCATTTT